TTAGAATGTTTAACTTTTAGGTGTGCTCGTCCTTAAGTTATTTGTTTTTGTTATTTTTATGGCCTTATAACAATTATATTCAACAATTTTTATGAGCTTGAGGCCGTTTAAAGTGAAAACTTATTGTGGAAAACCAAGAATAATTTGAAAAATGGTAGAAGTGATAGCTTTCTTTCGATTTTTATTTGTCAATATGTTAGAAACAAACATGCGGTCGCGAACGTACCTACGAATAATAATGGTAGTCGCTTTTGGCTGCAAAGTGAAAACTGTCTTGCGAATGTCTGCGAAATGGAACACATATTCTAAAGTGATTAATTTTAGATTAAATTGGAATAAAGTATTTTCGTCCTAACTAATTTCGCGTTGAAATATCTCTATTAGTTTTTTATTTATGAGAATAAGTACCGGTCGCAAACGCACGTCTTTTCCATAATTTTGTATACCTTCCATGAACATTGATCCCAAAGTGCAACTCCGTCGGTGGACTGATATTTGACGAAGGATGGAAGGAGAAAAGCAAAATTAGGAAGCACACATCTATATATTAATACGCTAACATAAATTTTGTCTCCGTTCGTTTGGCGATTCTACCGAACCGATTTCAAAACCAAGAACACCGTTGGAAAGGCATTTTTCCGTAGATGAGCAGAGTTGGTTTCACAATTGGTTGAAAATTACGGCCAAAACCGTCGTTTAAACATTTTCGAATTGTGTATAGATGTTGCTGCAACATGTGTAATTTGACATGTTTCGCTTGTTGTTTCACTACAGATTTGAAATAAAGATAAATATGAAGATGAAGAAATAAATGATAACGATGAAGTAAAAAACAAGTAATTTTTAGCAAAAAAAAACCGACTTCAACTCCCATATAAAAATATATATATATATATATATATCTCATAATCCACTGATCGGATCNGATTAGTATGGGACCACCTCTGAGACACTACCTTTCCGATGCAAAAAGAATTATCGAAATCGGTGGTCCAAAGTTATGCGGTAACTATTCCGACGAACTGATAAGCTCCTCCTTTTTTGGAAGTCGGTTAAAAATAAAGATATATATAAAGAAAAGGATGAGGATGAATATCGATATTGTTATCGATATAAAACTCG